AAGTGAAAGACCTAAATGGATAAAAGATAGGATCTCTGGGTCAGAGGAAAAGAATAGATTTTCCATTTTAATAATTGATCTGATCAATATTTCATTTATCTCCTAGAATAAATTAGAAGTTGACCATCAAGGGATTAAAAAGTAAAGCTGCTTCTAGTATGTTAATAAAACAAAATTTAAAAAATGGCACTAACTAGGTGGCTCACTAGATACAGTGCTACGCCTAAAGTCAGGAAGACCTGAATTCAAACCTAGCTGTGTGACCCTGGTCAAATCACTTAACCTCGTTTATCTAATCCCCTGGGGAAGGAAATGGAAAACTTCTCCAGCGTCTTTGCCAAGAAAACTCCATATGGGGGTCACAAAGAGTCATACACTATTGAACAACAACAACAAAGGGCACTAAAATAGCATTGCCAGGTTGAGGGAAGGGTGGGAAGATAGCTACTACCATGGCTTATTCAGACTTCCAGTCTTGCTAGTAACTGACCAGGTAGCAGAATTAGAAAGTGAGGTGGTGCAGTGGATAAAGTGCCAGACTTGGAATCAGGAAGACATGATTTTTCAAATCTAGACCCTGACACTTAGTAGCTGTGTGACCTAGGCAAGTCACAACCTCTATTTGCCTCAGTTTCCTCATCTGCAAATCAGAGGTAATAATAGGCCCTACTTCCCAGGATTATTGTGAGAGTTAACTAAGAAAATAATTGTAAAGTGCTTAGCACAATACATAGTAAGTTCTGTATAAATGTTAGCTATTTTTATAAACCATGGAACAGTCATTCAGTCTCAGACAGCATTCCTTTCTGGCAGTAACATGATCTGTTTTCACTCAAATTAATGCCATTCAGCTGTGACATCTGCCCTGTTGCTTTATGCTTTTCCCCATGAGGAACAAACCTTCCAGACCTAGCTCCTCCCCTGAAAATTTAATCCATTTATCTTTGGAATTGTCACTGGGGTACAGCTGCCTAGATTGTAGGATGAGTGTGTTAATCCTCACCTTAGCCCACTATATATAGTTTTTCTCCAGATCCCCAGACTATATTTTATTTCATCCAGTTATCCACCAGGACACCAGGGTCTAGGCAGTGTAGTCATCTTGCCAAATAACCTGATGCCCTCTCCCCTCTCCATATTCTTATATTATTATTGCTATTAGAAAAGAAATGATAACCAATTGTTCTATGACTCCACTCACAATCTCTTTGACTAGTTCAGTCAGAGCTGCCCTTCTTACCAGTCAGCAATATGTGTTGTATCTCCATACTAAAATGTAAGCTCCATTGGGGCAGGGATAATTTTTTACTTTGTATCCCAGAACCTAGCACAGTTGTCTGGCACCTACTAGTTCCTACTAAATATATGTTGATTAAGTGATTGACCTTTAGATACTTAGAAGTGCTAGGAGAACTAAAGTCAACATACAGGAGACAAGCTGGTCAACACACATTTAGTGAGTGTTTTATTATAGGCCAGGTATTGTGCTAAGTGCTGAGGATACACAGAAAGGCAAAAAGAGTCCCTGCCCTAAAGGAGCTTACATTTTAATAGAAGTGACGGCATGTAAATAGGCAAGTATAAGATATATACTGAGTAGATGGAAGTCAGTGTGAGAAGGGAAGATATTAGAAGCTGAGGGGATTGTGAAAAGCCTCCTGAAAACAGGTGGAATTTGAATGAAATCTTAAAGGAAGTCAGTGAAACTAAAATGCAGAGGTGAGGGGGCATAACATTCTAAGGCTGGGAAATAGCCAGTACAAAGGCACAGAGACCAGAGATGGAAGGTTCTCTTTGAGGAACTGAAAGTAGGCCAGTATAGCTGGAGTGGGTAAAGTTTAAGAAGACTGAAAAGGTGGGAAGGAGCCAGGTTATAAAAAACTTTACATGCCCCGTAGAGGAATTTATATTTGATCTTGCAATTGAAAGGGAGCCACTGGACTTTATTAAGAAGGAGGGAGACATAGTAAGACGTAAGCTTTAGAAAAATCACCTTGGCATCTGAGTGAAGAGAATTGGATTGGCATGGGGAGAGATTTGTGGCAGAGACCAGCTAGTAGGCTATTGTTCTAGTCCACTAAGTGGTGGTAAGGGCTTCACTGTGTCAGTGGAGAAGAGGTAAAATATTATGAGAAATTATGAAAGTAGAAAGAACAGGATTTGGCAATGAATTGGATATGTGGAATGAGTTAAGAATGAGAAATACAACATGACAGTAGTAAAGAATGAGCATGAGCCTTGAAGGATTGATTCAAGGATAACTCTAAAACTTTGGACCAGGCTCACTAGCAGAATCATAGTATCATTGTCAAATGATGCCCAAATCTTTATTTTTACCCTATTTATCCTCAGGAACTATTCTCATTTTTCCAATGGCCTGCTGAACATCACCCGAATACCCTACTGGCACCTCAAATCCAAAATATTGAAAACTAAACCCATGTTATCCCCTACTCTAGCTTCTCCTTCTTTGCTGATGCTACCACCTGGATATGGAAGTTCACAATCCAAGAATCATCTTTGATTTTTTTTTCCTTCACCCTTACTCCCTCCCACCCCCACCAACATTCAGTTAATTTCTAAGACCTGTTGTTTGTGGGGGTAGACAACAAAGCATGGGAATGGCAGCATAGTGAAGAACTTGTTTTGTAGACAGAAAATATAGGTTTCAATGCAAGTAAATTGAGATTTTTTACTATGTAATGCTAGGCAATTGTCATTTGATTTCTCTAGCCTCTTACCTTCTCCTAGCCTGCCAAAATTCACCTTCCGAACACCCCTCTTCCCCTCCCACATACATAGTATTTTCCATCATCCCTAGGTGAGTTGTTTTCCCTTATTAGAATATAATAGAAAGTCCCCATGTACTAATACTCATATTAATAATAATAATAATATTCTTAGCAGAAATTTTTGTGGTAGTAAAGAACTCAGAAAAAAAGTGCCCATTGATTAGAGAATGGCCTAACAAATCGCATGAATATAACTTAGTATTTTACTCTTCTTATAGAAGACCAATGTGAAGAAATGAGGGAAACTTGTGTCATCCCCAGACCCCATGATCCCCACGAACCTCAATTTGAAAGAGTCTGCTCTAAGAAAGAGACAAACAAAATTGGGGTACATGTGTCCACAGTTTAATTTCTCGAAGTAGCTTGACATGCATTGCATGGGAGTGCAGTCCAAAACTAGGCTTCCTCTACGGGGGCTCAGTTTAGGATTTTAGGGTACAGCCTTATGTGCCCTCCGAAGAGTAGGTGTTCCCAAGAGGTGCCAATCAATTGTGATTGGTGAACACATTAGGAGGTGAGTTGGTTCCTTAGATCACTCAATCCACCCAGGTCAATATCTCCCACCATCAAAGGAAATATGACCCCCAGTCCTGGAAGTCCTTCTCCACCCAAACCTGTATGGGATAAAATCAATTCAGGCCTGGGTTGGAGTTTGACCAAGATAAGATTCAATGCAATCTCAACATCAGAGATGTCCTTCTGAACAACTTTGGACAAAAGGCTGGCAGGGTGGAGCTCAGAGTCTCTAAGACACAGATTACCAAGAAAAATCATTTTTAACACTTGTCAAAACTCATAGGAATACAAGGTGAATTAAACATTCAGGATTAATTTACATGATTACCACAATAATGAAAAGGAAAACCTAACTTAGAACTCTGTTACCAATGGTGAATTTATAGACTTCAGGCGTTGAATGAGGCATACCTGTGTAACAACTCCCTGGATGGTTCCCAAGCCACTCCAGTTTCCATCTCCCATCTGGCACTCCAGCTCTCACCCAAGACCCTGGGTTTGTGATTGGTGAGATTTAAACTTATCAGTTTCAGCCCCACCAACTGCTAGTACTTATTTCCCGTCTCTGTCCAGACTCTTTCTTTCCCTCTTTTAACCTTTAGTTATGGGAACAGTAATCAACACTGCCATTCTTCTTGGAAAGGACTTATCACTTGCCTTCTAATTTCAGTCACCATCCTTGTGACTTCTCTGACCAAAACACCACTATCCTATAGCTATATTGTATTCCTTTATTAGAATGTAAGCTCCTTGACAGTAAAATTGGTCGTTTTATATTTTTGTATCCCCAGAATTTAGCACAGTATCTAGCATACAATAAGCATTCATTCAATAAGCATTTATTTATTAAGCACATCCACAGCGAGGGATACAAAAGGAGGCAAAAGATAGTCCCTGCCCTCAAAGAGCTTACAATGTAACAGAGGAGACAAGCAAACAAATATAAACAAAGCAAAATATACAGGATAAATAGGAAATAAAAGGAAAGCATGGGAATTAAGCAGGGTTAGAGAAGGTTTCCTATAGAAAGTGGGATTCTAGTTGCAACTTAAAAGAAGCACTTAGTAAATGCTTTTTTCATTCATTCTTTTCTAAAAAAAAAAAAATCCCCCTTAATTGTACTATTGAGATCAGGAATTAGTTATAGGGACCAAAAGGAAAAAAATAAAGGACGGAGGGCTAAAAGCAAACGGCAAAACATGGATGTGGGGAAAGGGGAGATGCAGGAAGCGTATTCCTTTGATGACAGCCATAGGTCCCAGTCTCACGGGTTTTAACAATTATTCACTTTTTGAACATTGACTCTATTCGGTATTTCGCCTGTGGCTTTTATGCAGGACTCAAAGCAACCAGTCTTTAACTATCAGTCTTTAACCCTTTCGCGGGCATTCCTGCAGTCTCTGCTGACAATCACAGCCTACAGAAAGCGTTAACAGGGATGCTAAGACCCCAAGCGTCGCGGACCAATGGGGCTCAGGAAATGAAGCCAAAGCCCACAGCCTTCCCTTTCATTCTGCTCTCCGCACCAGCTTTTCCCAGCCGGCAGACTCACTGCACCGCCTCAGACGCCTCCTACACAAGCAATGACGGTTGTGGCTGTTGGGCCCCCCGCGGCGGTCACTGAGCACGGCGCGCGCAGCCACGCCACTGCGCCGCCGCACCTCCTCCTTCGGCCCCTCCAGGCTTCTATTGCGCTTGCGCACGACCGGAAAGTTCGCGAAGGTTCCCGAAGCGGAACCGGCCGTTTCCGGAAACCGACTGTCGCCAGAGGAGTCAGACAGCAGATTGCGGTTGAAGAGTCCTTGCAGCCGCCCCTGCGGTCCGGCTTCTGTCAGCTTGCCGGTCGCGGCAGAGAGAGACATGTCCTTGCTCTGCTACAATAGAGGCTGCGGCCAGCGCTTCGACCCTGAAACCAACACGGATGGTAAGAAAAACATTCCCCCAGCCCCCTCTTACTCCTCCCCTCTTCACTTTCCTCCCCCTGGCCAGGCTCTTAGGGTGGCCCAGCTCCCCCCCCCCCCCTGGTAGAGGAGAGCCGGCCTTTAAGGATGGCCCGACAGCCCCGCGGCCCAAAGCGGGGTTTGCCAAGGCCCCTCTCCCCACATCCCTGCATTACTCACAGCCCTCCGGCCATCCTCCATCCAATTTGACCACACATCGCGGCCATTCCCCTGGACCCATCCTGAGCATTAGAGTCATGATGCGGCTCTTTTCTCCCTATTCCTGCATCCCAAAGCCTCTCTCTTTCCTTCTCTATCCCCTGCCTCACCTCCCATGGACCCCATATCTCGCCCTCCCTTCCTTTCTTCCCAAGTAAAGAAATTAACTCACCTCTGGCCCCACGTGTTTGCCTAGTCACCTTCTGCATCTCTCCTTCTGCTCATCCCCATTCTGCTGTCAACTTTATTCTTTCTCACTAAGCAGTACCTGGGGGACGTAATCAATTAGAGACGATATCGGGCCCGTTGCCCTTTATTCTAAAGAATAAAGTTGGGTCCCATTACAGTTTAGGTGTAGGAAAAGAACATGTAGTTATTACCTGACATTTCAGTTATGCATCCTCAAAAGTTCACAGAGATCTAGTAGACAATGCCAAAATTCCAGACTTCTATACTTCCTCTGTTGTAAAACTTTTTTTCTTTTTAAATTTACTTTGTCTCTCTTTGGAAAGATCACTGCAACTTTTGCCGAATTGTATGTTACTGTTGATTTAATCTGTTATAAAAGCATCAGTTTTGTTTCTGTTTTTGACATTACAGACAACTGTGACTACGCAATAGCTGAGGTTTTTCTTAGACTGCATCACTTATAGTAGAGCACAGAATGTGGAGTTTAGGGGATTTGTCCAACTCTTCAAGTCAACTAAACTCTCAAGGCCTCAGTCTCAAATCTGATTCTGAGTGGCTATTAGGTTGTACACATAAAATCTACGTGTACCACTAGATGTGGTGTTTTATGTTTTATTTATACAACATCTTATGTTGTAGAATCACAGCTTATTGGAGATAATGGATTTTGACCCATGGCCATTCCATTTGTAGGCACCTGATGAATATTTGGTAAACTGTTGTTCACCAAAGTATTGTGAACTGGGATCAAATACCATCTCGCCCTTTAGGAATATGTGGGAATCTTCTCTTATAGGAGCCAGGTAGAATATGTAATACATTTTGACAAAATAGTTATTTAGATTTAGGATAAAAGATAGATTACTTTTAGATAAAATGGCCCGAAGCTTTAAAAGTGGAATTGGAGTAACAGTAGCCTTTATTATAGGGATGTTGAGGAATTGTAATAATTTAATAACATCTTGAATTAGTCGTGGAGTGGATTTCTACACCATGTGGGCAATTGTACCAGCTCTTAAATTCTATAAAATAGTTATCTTGAGGCACAAGTGATTTGGTAAAATCATCTAAAATGATAAAGACATTTGGAGTAAAGGACTTTTTAGAATAAATGTGACATCTAATCTTTATCATTCTTTGCTTCACTTAAATTTGGGAATCATAAAGATGTAGATGTAAAGTAAAATGGGGGGAGAAAAGTTAGGATTAAGTACATGAAGATAAACCTGGGACTATCCTATACCAAGGTAGTGTATAAAGCCATGTTTTGGTTGCATGGAAGAATATGATTAACCTTGAAAGTAATTTAAGTCAAGTTCACTTAAAGTAAAGGTTTTTAAACTTTTATGATTCATAATCCCCTTTGACATTTTGGTGAACCCTATGGATCCCTTCTCAGAAAAAGTACTTTTAAATCATGGCAAAATGACAAGATTATGAAGAAAAACATTTATATTGAAATGCAGTTATCAAAATATTTTTAAAAGTTCATGGACCCCTGGAGAGGATAGAGCCATCCTATGTAACAAATAATATTTTTTTAAAGAAAAAAAAGAAAAAAATAAACAAAACTGATAGATATACATCAAAAAAAAAGTCAGAAAATATGTGCATGGTATGTCTGTGGACCTCTGTGAAGGAGTGGGTTGGGGAATGTCTTCTCAGATCTCTTCTTAGGGACTGTAATTGTTCTTTGTAATTTCACAGAATTAATTTTTTATTGTTTTGAGGTGATTCTTTCTACTAAGATTATTGTAGTCATTATGCCTATTGTTGACTCTCTTTACTTCAGTGTGCATTTGTTGTGTAAATCTTTTCATGTTTTTCTAGTCATCAAATTCTGTTTTTTATATATATATAAAATACTACAATTTGTTTAGTCATCCCCCAAATGATCAGCATATACTTTGTGTCTAAAGTTGTGTTATAAATATTTTGGTGTATATGGGACTTGTTTCTTATTAGTAACCTCCTTGGGATATTTGTCTAGAACTATAATGACTGGGTCAAAGGGAATGGACATTGTCTATTTATTTGTATAATTCCAAAATAGTTATACTGATCCAAACTCCATCAATGCCCTAGAATGTCCTGTCTTTTCACAACCCCCCCCCAATATAGACTATTCCCATCTTTTGTCATCTTTGCCAATTTTTTGAGTTTGAGGTGAAATTTTAGGGTTGTTTTGATTAGGCTTTCTCTTATTATAGGTGATTTAGAGTATTTTTCATGTTACTGTTAATAGTTTTCGATTCTTTTGAGAATTTCATATTCTTGTACCCTTTATCTATTGGGAAATGGCTTTGGGGCATATATAGGCAATCTTAATGTATGCATACATATACTGTGTATGTATATATGTATGTAGGGCAGTTAGGTGGATCAGTGGACAGGGTGCTGGCCCTGAAGTCTGAGGCCAGATTTGAACTCATAAAGATGGATTTCTTTCATGATGCAATAAACTAGTTCAGGTTTCCCAAAATATTATCTTATATCTCCTCCCTTTCTCAGCCAGAGTCTGAGAAAAATTATATTCGTTGCCTCTACTTCATATCCAACTTCTTGACCCCTTTTAATCTAACTTCTAATTCCACCACTTAACTAAAACTTTTCTCCAAGGTTAGCAATGATCTCTTAATTGTCAAATCTGATTGCCTTTTCTCAGTCCTTCTTGACCTCTGAGCAGCTGTCACTGTTGATACTCTCTTTTCCTGATACTCTCTTCCCTGGGTTTTTGTGATATTCTGCTTTCTTAGTTCTCCTACTCTGATCATACCTTTTTGGTCCTATTTACTAGCTCGTCATACTCCCAGCTGTAGTTGTACCATGTCTTAGTCCCTTTTCTCTCATTTCTCTATCCTTTTATGGTGACCCTATCAGCTGCCATTGGTTTATCATCTCCATGCAAATACCAGATTTATATTTCTAGCCCTAGTCCTGAGATCCAGTTCTACATAACCAACTACATACTAGACATCTCAAAACAGAACTCCTTATTGTTACCTTAAAACTCAGACCTGTTCCGCATTTTCAGATTAGTGAGGGCATCACCATCCCTCTAGGCAGCCTTGATTTCGTTCTATAACTTTCACTCTTCCTCAGCCTGCATATGCAACTAGTTGCCAAATCTTAGTTTTTCTGTACCATATCACCCACTTCCATCCCTTTTCTTTACTCACAGTCACAACCCTACTTCAAACCTTCATCATCTCTTGCCTAGACTTCAGGTTAACCTCCTAATTGATCTCCCTGCCTCACATCTCTCCTAGTCTAATTAGTCTTCTACATAGTTGACAAAGTAATTTTCCTAAAGTTCTGAACTATCCCTGTCATTCTCCTACACAATAAACTCCATTGGCTCCCTGTTACTTTAGGGTCAAATAAACACTTTCATGGCATTCAAAGCCCTCCTTAGCTCCTGCCTACCTTTCTGTCATTATTACCTGGTGTTTTCTATCTCAATAGCCTTGCACTGGCTATCCCACTTGCCTTAACTCCCTTAACTTCATCTCTCAAAATCCTTCATTTTCTTCCAAGGCTCAGTTCAAGTGCTACCTTCTACATGAAGCCTTTCCGGATTCCCCCAGTAGCTAGTGTCTCCTCCCTACTCTCACCAAATTACCTCATAGCTAGTTATAGGTAAGTGTGCACTTGTTGTCTCTCGTGGCTAGACTGTAAGCTCCTTTAGGGCAAGGATTGTATTATGTTTTTCTTTGTATTCCTAGCATAGTGCCTGATATTTAGATGTTTAATAAATGATTGTTGATTATTAATTGTTTATGTCCCGACACAGTGACTTGTTTTATTCTAACCTGTAGTCCACCAGAACACTCATTTTTCTTCACGAGAAATGTTATCTTTGTACATCTTATTCATTTTATATTTATCAAGTTGTTATTTTGAAGCCAAACATATTTCTCCCTATTAAATTCTATCTTAATTGACTTAGCCTGTTGTTCTAGCCTGACAAGATCTTGGATCCAGTATTTTAGCTGTCATTATCAGCATCCTGTTATTTGCAGATTTTATAGTCTTTTGTCATCTGTGCTTTATCCAGTCAATCAACAAATGTTTATTAAACACCCACTCTCTGCTGGTGACAAAAACAAAACAGTCCTTGACTTCAAGGAGCTTTCATTTTACTAATAACCAAATAATTGATAAAAAATAAATACTAAACATCTTGCTGTTAAGGAAATTTAAAGGTGACTTCCCTGAAAATTGATATTGGCCCATTAATGAGTACTCTTTGGGTCCAATCACTCTAAGAGTTCAGAATCTACCTAATGGTACCATCATTTAATTTACCTGTTCTGCGTCTTGTCCAAAAGGATCAAGTGAGAGATGTTGGCAAGTGTTTACTTGAAATCCTAAGTATACTAGGCATATAGCAGATATGCATTCCCTGAATTTCTAGATTTATAATCCTGGCAAGCAAGTAAATGAGTTAATCTAGATAATCTATTCTTGTTGAGATTCCTACAAATTGTCTTTGGCTGTTACAGGTTGCCATTTCCTTTTATAGATGCTAATTACCCCTTTGATAGTATATTATAGAATATTGCCAGAAATTGAA